ACAAGACAGGTCTAACAAAGCCTGAGAGACAGGTCTAACAAAGCCTGAGAGACAGGTCTAACAAAGCCTGAGAGACAGGTCTAACAAAGCCTGAGAGACGAGTCTAACAAAGCCTGAGAGACAGGTCTAACAAAGCCTGAGAGACACGTCTAACAAAGCCTGAGAGACAGGTCTAACAAAGCCTGAGAGACAGGTCTAACAAAGCCTGAGAGACGAGTCTAACAAAGCCTGAGAGACAGGTCTAACAAAGCCTGAGAGACACGTCTAACAAAGCCTGAGAGACAGGTCTAACAAAGCCTGAGAGACACGTCTAACAAAGCCTGAGAGACACATCTAACAAAGCCTGAGAGACAGGTCTAACAAAGCCTGAGAGACGAGTCTAACAAAGCCTGAGAGACACGTCTAACAAAGCATGAGAGACAGGTCTAACAAAGCCTGAGAGACAGGTCTAACAAAGCCTGAGAGACACATCTAACAAAGCCTGAGAGACACGTCTAACAAAGCCTGAGAGACGAGTCTAACAAAGCCTGAGAGACACGTCTAACAAAGCCTGAGAGACAGGTCTAACAAAGCCTGAGAGACAGGTCTAACAAAGCCTGAGAGACACGTCTAACAAAGCCTGAGAGACGAGTCTAACAAAGCCAGAGAGACAAGTCAACAAAGCCTGAGAGACGAGTCTAACAAAGCCTGAGAGACGAGTCTAACAAAGCCTGAGAGACAGGTCTAGTAAAGCCTGAGAGACGAGTCTAACAAAGCCTGAGAGACAGGTCTAACAAAGCCTGAGAGACAGGTCTAACAAAGCCTGAGAGACAGGTCTAATAACGCCTGAGAGACGAGTCTAACAAAGCCTGAGAGACAGGTCTAACAAAGCCTGAGAGACGAGTCTAACAAAGCCTGAGAGACAGGTCTAACAAAGCCTGAGAGACAGGTCTAACAAAGCCTGAGAGACAGGTCTAATAAAGCCTGAGAGACGAGTCTAACAAAGCCTGAGAGACGAGTCTAACAAAGCCTGAGAGACAGGTCTAACAAAGCCTGAGAGACAGGTCTAACAAAGCCTGAGAGACAAGTCAACAAAGCCTGAGAGACGAGTCTAACAAAGCCTGAGAGACGGGTCTAACAAAGCCTGAGAGACAGGTCTAACAAAGCCTGAGAGACAGGTCTAACAAAGCCTGAGAGACAGGTCTAACAAAGCCTGAGAGACAAGTCTAACAAAGCCTGAGAGACAGGTCTAATAACACCTGAGAGACGAGTCTAACAAAGCCTGAGAGACAGGTCTAATAACGCCTGAGAGACGAGTCTAACAAAGCCTGAGAGACAGGTCTAATAACACCTGAGAGACGAGTCTAACAAAGCCTGAGAGACAGGTCTAATAACGCCTGAGAGACGAGTCTAACAAAGCCTGAGAGACAGGTCTAATAACGCCTGAGAGACAGGTCTAACAAAGCCTGAGAGACGAGTCTAACAAAGCCTGAGAGACAGGTCTAATAAAGCCTGAGAGACAGGTCTAATAAAGCCTGAGAGACGAGTCTAACAAAGCCTGAGAGACAGGTCTAATAACACCTGAGAGACGAGTCTAACAAAGCCTGAGAGACAGGTCTAATAACGCCTGAGAGACGAGTCTAACAAAGCCTGAGAGACAGGTCTAATAACGCCTGAGAGACAGGTCTAACAAAGCCTGAGAGACGAGTCTAACAAAGCCTGAGAGACAGGTCTAATAAAGCCTGAGAGACAGGTCTAATAAAGCCTGAGAGACGAGTCTAACAAAGCCTGAGAGACGAGTCTAACAAAGCCTGAGAGACGGGTCTAACAAAGCCTGAGAGACAGGTCTAACAAAGCCTGAGAGACAGGTCTAACAAAGCCTGAGAGACAAGTCTAACAAAGCCTGAGAGACAGGTCTAATAACACCTGAGAGACGAGTCTAACAAAGCCTGAGAGACAGGTCTAATAACGCCTGAGAGACGAGTCTAACAAAGCCTGAGAGACAGGTCTAATAACACCTGAGAGACGAGTCTAACAAAGCCTGAGAGACAGGTCTAATAACGCCTGAGAGACGAGTCTAACAAAGCCTGAGAGACAGGTCTAATAACGCCTGAGAGACAGGTCTAACAAAGCCTGAGAGACGAGTCTAACAAAGCCTGAGAGACAGGTCTAATAAAGCCTGAGAGACAGGTCTAATAAAGCCTGAGAGACGAGTCTAACAAAGCCTGAGAGACGAGTCTAACAAAGCCTGAGAGACAGGTCTAATAAAGCCTGAGAGACAGGTCTAATAAAGCCTGAGAGACGAGTCTAACAAAGCCTGAGAGACGAGTCTAACAAAGCCTGAGAGACAGGTCTAATAACACCTGAGAGACGAGTCTAACAAAGCCTGAGAGACAGGTCTAATAACGCCTGAGAGACGAGTCTAACAAAGCCTGAGAGACAGGTCTAATAACACCTGAGAGACGAGTCTAACAAAGCCTGAGAGACAGGTCTAATAACGCCTGAGAGACGAGTCTAACAAAGCCTGAGAGACAGGTCTAATAACGCCTGAGAGACGAGTCTAACAAGCCTGAGAGACAGGTCTAATAAAGCCTGAGCCTGAGGAGGAGCATGGAGCCCAGAAATAACCCTTTAAATACCGTTTAAACAGGTAGAGTCCACCGACAGCATGAGAAACTCTAACTCGGAGACGAGTCTAACTCGGAGACGAGTCTAACTCGGAGACGAGTCTAACTCGGAGACGGGTCTAACTCGGAGACGAGTCTAACTCGGAGACGGGTCTAACTCGGAGACGGGTCTAACTCGGAGACGGGTCTAACTCGGAGACGGGTCTAACTCGGAGACGGGTCTAACTCGGAGACGGGTCTAACTCGGAGACGGGTCTAACTCGGAGACGAGTCTAACTCAGAGACGGGTCTAACTCAGAGACAAGTCTAACGCATCCCATTCAAAGACTCAGAATCTAACAGAAAAAATAAAACGCTTGCAAAACCCTTTTTTTTGTAAACTTTGAATGAACATGCTGCACGCTGTGTGTGTGTGTGTGTGTGTGTGTGTGTGTGTGTGTGTGTGTGTGTGTGTGTGTGTGTGTGTGTGTGTGTGTGTGTGTGTGTGTGTGTGTGTGTGTGTGTGTGTGTGTGTGTGTGTGTGTGTGTGTGTGTGTGTGTGTGTGTGTGTGTGTGTGTGTGTGTGTGTGTGTGTGTGTGTGTGTGTGTGTGTGTGTGTGTGTGTTAAAATATTCATCATCATCAATTTTAACTTTCCATAATGAAATGAAGATGATGCTGTGATGTTTAAAATGCTGCGCTCACAGGACACTCTGCTGCAGACCTTTACTCTAGTGTGTGTGTGTGTGTGTGTGTGTGTGTGTGTTACAGGCTGCTCAGGTGGTGCTGATCTGTCTCTTTGAGCTGAACACTCCTGAGTTCACCATGCTGCTCGGCGCCCTGCCCAAAACCTTCCAGGAGGGAACGACCAGACTGTTACACAACCACCTGAGGAGCAGCATGGTGAGGACACACACACACACACACACACACACACACACACACACACACACACACACACACACACACACACACACACACACACACACACACACACACACACACACACACACACACACACACACACACACACACACACACACACACACACACACACACACACACACCACACACACACACACACACACACACACACACACACACACACACACACACACACACACACACACACACACACACACACACACACACACACACACAGAGAGACACACACACACAGAGAGAGACTCACACAGTGACTCACACACTCACACAGTGACTCACACACACACACAGTGACACACACACACACACATTTATGATAACACATATTTAATACCTCACAGAGTGTTTAAAAAGGTTGTGTGAAGCAGTGTTTCTCTGTATTGTCTCTCTGCAGGTGTCCTCTGGTTCCCCTGCAGGCCGGACCCCCCCTCGCCCCCTCACCTCCCCCACAAACTGCTCCCCGGGGGGTCTCTCTCCCAGGTAACTCCATAGTGGAGTATGAAAACAAGATATACTGTAAAGTTCAAGAGTGCTCTGGACCACTTGTGACTCTTTCTCTTACTGAAGGGACACACAGGGAACACTGCCTGCATGAGGCCCAATGTTTGCTCACAGGTTCCACAACAGAACATTATATATTGTTGACGGACACAGTTGTGTTGACAGACGACCTGCTTTAGTGCATCAGCAGCACAGGCGTAGATCATTCTGTTGGAGGAGGATCCTAAAGTGGGTTCTGCTGCTCCGTGTGGATTTGTTGGCACCGATGTCGTCGTATCTGAAAGGTAAATGAGGAATTGTCTGGTTAATGAAGCGGCTCCTCTCCCTGCAGCCTGCTGGATCTGGACAGTGAGATCTTAAACGCTGAGGAGATCTTCTCGTCTCTGCGAGGCGTCACTGAGGCCATCCAGAACTTCAGCTTCCGCAGCCAGGAGGAGCTGACGGAGCCCCGGAGGGACGGCAAGGTGGGGGAGGAGGAGCATGGAGCCCAGAAATAACCCTTTAAATGCTGTTTGAATGCAGTTTAAATACTGTTTGAATGCTGTTTAAATACTGTTTGAATGCTGTTTAAATACTGTTTGAATGCAGTTTAAATACTGTTTGAATGCTGTTTAAATACTGTTTGAATGCTGTTTAAATACTGTTTGAATGCAGTTTAAATACTGTTTGAATGCTGTTTAAATACTGTTTGAATGCAGTTTAAATACTGTTTGAATGCAGTTTAAATACTGTTTGAATGCAGTTTGAATACTGTTTGAATGCTGTTTAAATACAGTTTAAATACTGTTTGAATGCAGTTTGAATACTGTTTGACTGCAGTTTAAATACTGTTTGAATGCAGTTTAAATACAGTTTAAATACTGTTTGAATGCTGTTTAAATACTGTTTGAATGCTGTTTAAATACTGTTTGAATGCAGTTTAAATACTGTTTGAATGCAGTTTAAATACTGTTTGAATGCTGTTTAAATACTGTTTGAATGCAGTTTAAATACTGTTTGAATGCTGTTTAAATACTGTTTGAATGCAGTTTAAATACTGTTTGAATGCAGTTTAAATACTGTTTGAATGCAGTTTGAATACTGTTTGAATGCTGTTTAAATACAGTTTAAATACTGTTTGAATGCAGTTTGAATACTGTTTGAATGCAGTTTGAATACTGTTTGAATGCAGTTTAAATACTGTTTGAATGCAGTTTAAATACAGTTTAAATACTGTTTGAATGCAGTTTGAATACTGTTTGAATGCAGTTTAAATACTGTTTGAATGCTGTTTAAATACTGTTTGAATGCAGTTTAAATACTGTTTGAATGCAGTTTGAATACTGTTTGAATGCTGTTTAAATACTGTTTGAATGCAGTTTAAATACTGTTTGAATGCAGTTTGAATGCAGTTTGAATGCTGTTTGAATGCTGTTTAAATACTGTTTGAATGCAGTTTAAATACTGTTTGAATGCAGTTTGAATACTGTTTGAATGCAGTTTAAATACTGTTTGAATGCAGTTTAAATACAGTTTAAATACTGTTTGAATGCAGTTTGAATACTGTTTGAATGCAGTTTAAATACTGTTTGAATGCTGTTTAAATACTGTTTGAATGCAGTTTAAATACTGTTTGAATGCAGTTTGAATACTGTTTAAATGCAGTTTAAATACTGTTTGAATGCAGTTTAAATACAGTTTAAATACTGTTTGAATGCAGTTTGAATACTGTTTGAATGCAGTTTAAATACTGTTTGAATGCAGTTTAAATACAGTTTAAATACTGTTTGAATGCAGTTTGAATACTGTTTGAATGCAGTTTGAATACTGTTTGAATGCTGTTTAAATACTGTTTGAATGCAGTTTAAATACTGTTTGAATGCAGTTTGAATACTGTTTAAATACTGTTTGAATGCAGTTTGAATACTGTTTGAATGCTGTTTAAATACTGTTTGAATGCAGTTTAAATACTGTTTGAATGCAGTTTGAATACTGTTTGAATGCTGTTTAAATACTGTTTGAATGCAGTTTAAATACTGTTTGAATGCAGTTTGAATGCAGTTTGAATGCTGTTTAAATACTGTTTGAATGCAGTTTAAATACTGTTTGAATGCAGTTTGAATACTGTTTGAATGCAGTTTGAATACTGTTTGAATGCTGTTTAAATACAGTTTAAATACTGTTTGAATGCAGTTTGAATACTGTTTGAATGCAGTTTGAATACTGTTTGAATGCAGTTTAAATACTGTTTGAATGCAGTTTAAATACAGTTTAAATACTGTTTGAATGCAGTTTGAATACTGTTTGAATGCAGTTTAAATACTGTTTGAATGCTGTTTAAATACTGTTTGAATGCAGTTTAAATACTGTTTGAATGCAGTTTGAATACTGTTTGAATGCTGTTTAAATACTGTTTGAATGCAGTTTAAATACTGTTTGAATGCAGTTTGAATGCAGTTTGAATGCTGTTTGAATGCTGTTTAAATACTGTTTGAATGCAGTTTAAATACTGTTTGAATGCAGTTTGAATACTGTTTGAATGCAGTTTAAATACTGTTTGAATGCAGTTTAAATACAGTTTAAATACTGTTTGAATGCAGTTTGAATACTGTTTGAATGCAGTTTAAATACTGTTTGAATGCTGTTTAAATACTGTTTGAATGCAGTTTAAATACTGTTTGAATGCAGTTTGAATACTGTTTAAATGCAGTTTAAATACTGTTTGAATGCAGTTTAAATACAGTTTAAATACTGTTTGAATGCAGTTTGAATACTGTTTGAATGCAGTTTAAATACTGTTTGAATGCAGTTTAAATACAGTTTAAATACTGTTTGAATGCAGTTTGAATACTGTTTGAATGCAGTTTGAATACTGTTTGAATGCTGTTTAAATACTGTTTGAATGCAGTTTAAATACTGTTTGAATGCAGTTTGAATGCAGTTTGAATACAGTTTGAATGCAGTTTGAATGCAGTTTGAATGCAGTTTGAATGCAGTTTGAATGCAGTTTGAATGCAGTTTGAATGCAGTTTGAATGCAGTTTAAATACTGTTTGAATGCAGTTTAAATACAGTTTAAATACTGTTTGAATGCAGTTTGAATACTGTTTGAATGCAGTTTAAATACTGTTTGAATGCTGTTTAAATACTGTTTGAATGCAGTTTAAATACTGTTTGAATGCAGTTTAAATACTGTTTGAATGCAGTTTAAATACAGTTTAAATACTGTTTGAATGCAGTTTGAATACTGTTTGAATGCAGTTTAAATACTGTTTGAATGCAGTTTAAATACTGTTTGAATGCTGTTTAAATACTGTTTGAATGCAGTTTAAATACAGTTTAAATACTGTTTAAATACTGTTTGAATGCAGTTTGAATACTGTTTGAATGCAGTTTAAATACTGTTTGAATGCTGTTTAAATACTGTTTGAATGCAGTTTGAATACTGTTTGAATGCAGTTTAAATACTGTTTGAATGCAGTTTAAATACTGTTTGAATGCAGTTTGAATACTGTTTGAATGCAGTTTAAATACTGTTTGAATGCAGTTTAAATACAGTTTAAATACTGTTTGAATGCAGTTTGAATACTGTTTGAATGCAGTTTAAATACTGTTTGAATGCTGTTTAAATACTGTTTGAATGCAGTTTAAATACTGTTTGAATGCAGTTTAAATACTGTTTGAATGCTGTTTAAATACTGTTTGAATGCAGTTTAAATACTGTTTGAATGCTGTTTAAATACTGTTTGAATGCAGTTTAAATACTGTTTGAATGCAGTTTAAATACTGTTTGAATGCTGTTTAAATACTGTTTGAATACTGTTTGAATGCAGTTTGAATACTGTTTGAATGCTGTTTAAATACAGTTTAAATACTGTTTGAATGCAGTTTGAATACTGTTTGAATGCAGTTTAAATACAGTTTAAATACTGTTTGAATGCTGTTTAAATACTGTTTGAATGCAGTTTAAATACTGTTTGAATGCAGTTTAAATACTGTTTGAATGCAGTTTAAATACTGTTTGAATGCAGTTTGAATACTGTTTGAATGCAGTTTGAATGCAGTTTGAATGCAGTTTGAATACTGTTTGAATGCTGTTTAAATACAGTTTAAATACTGTTTGAATGCAGTTTGAATGCAGTTTGAATGCAGTTTGAATACAGTTTGAATACTGTTTGAATACAGTTTGAATACTGTTTGAATGCAGTTTAAATACTGTTTGAATGCAGTTTAAATACAGTTTAAATACTGTTTGAATGCAGTTTGAATACTGTTTGAATGCAGTTTAAATACTGTTTGAATGCTGTTTAAATACTGTTTGAATGCAGTTTAAATACTGTTTGAATGCAGTTTGAATACTGTTTGAATGCTGTTTAAATACTGTTTGAATGCAGTTTAAATACTGTTTGAATGCAGTTTGAATGCAGTTTGAATGCTGTTTGAATGCAGTTTGAATACTGTTTGAATGCAGTTTAAATACTGTTTGAATGCAGTTTGAATACTGTTTGAATGCAGTTTGAATACTGTTTGAATGCAGTTTGAATACTGTTTGAATGCAGTTTAAATACTGTTTGAATGCAGTTTAAATACAGTTTAAATACTGTTTGAATGCAGTTTGAATACTGTTTGAATGCAGTTTAAATACTGTTTGAATGCTGTTTAAATACTGTTTGAATGCAGTTTTAAATACTGTTTGAATGCAGTTTGAATACTGTTTAAATGCAGTTTAAATACTGTTTGAATGCAGTTTTAAATACAGTTTAAATACTGTTTGAATGCAGTTTGAATACTGTTTGAATGCAGTTTAAATACTGTTTGAATGCTGTTTAAATACTGTTTGAATGCAGTTTAAATACTGTTTGAATGCAGTTTGAATACTGTTTAAATGCAGTTTAAATACTGTTTGAATGCAGTTTAAATACAGTTTAAATACTGTTTGAATGCAGTTTGAATACTGTTTGAATGCAGTTTAAATACTGTTTGAATGCAGTTTAAATACAGTTTAAATACTGTTTGAATGCAGTTTGAATACTGTTTGAATGCAGTTTGAATACTGTTTGAATGCTGTTTAAATACTGTTTGAATGCAGTTTAAATACTGTTTGAATGCAGTTTGAATACTGTTTAAATACTGTTTGAATGCAGTTTGAATACTGTTTGAATGCTGTTTAAATACTGTTTGAATGCAGTTTAAATACTGTTTGAATGCAGTTTGAATACTGTTTGAATGCTGTTTAAATACTGTTTGAATGCAGTTTAAATACTGTTTGAATGCAGTTTGAATACTGTTTGAATGCAGTTTGAATGCAGTTTGAATGCTGTTTGAATGCAGTTTGAATGCTGTTTGAATGCAGTTTGAATACTGTTTGAATGCAGTTTGAATGCAGTTTGAATGCTGTTTGAATGCTGTTTAAATACTGTTTGAATGCAGTTTAAATACTGTTTGAATGCAGTTTGAATACTGTTTGAATGCAGTTTGAATACTGT